GCGGGAACCCCACGCGTACGAACCTGCGCCGCCGGCCCGGGGGTGTGCCCGAGGGTGCACAGTCCCTCTTAGAGTCGATGACACGGACCACGCGGGGCGGACTCCGTCGTTCCGTAGGCCATCGACAAACGTGTCACTATGCACACGTGAAGAGAGCCACGCCACGCAGCGCACGAAAAGAAATGAGGGAGTATTCGCGCTCTGGTGACGAATATTACATCAGCGCGTCCAGTACCCTCCCCATAACTGCCTCTGCAGACGGTTAAGAAATGGGCGAAACTAGTGAGGGGTGGGGAAAGCACACAGGAACACACGCTGCACAACCGTATCTCTGTACTACGAGGCCCTGCCGTCCAGGGTGCCTCAAGCGGACACGGGCTCCACAACCTTCACGTCATGATAGCCGGGCCTTCTCTCTCGCGGTTATCCGGCTGCAACTATGTCGCGCCCGCCCTCACCCTATGGGTAGAGGGAAGGCACCCAATTCGTGGAAGTAGCAAACCCCATCGCCGTCCTTCCCCGCGCAATGGCACCCCACGCTGGACAGCTGGCACGAGCATCCCGACCGCGCGCGGAGCCTGAAGTCGGATGAACTACGGACGGAGGAAAGGCGAGGAAAGAAAGCATGGGAGGGTAATTTTCACAGAGAGGATCAGAGGGGAAGGAGACGGAAGGATTACGAGAAGTCTTTACGGACTAGAGACAGGACGGAGGCGCGGACGGAAGCACCAAGACAGTCCCTCTCAATGTGGCTCGATGGTAACGAGAGGAGCTGGGGTGGACGTTGGCAAAGTGGATTCGCTACGGTTTCAAGGAAAACAGGGGAAGCACGTCGGGAAGGAAAATCACCAGGGTAAGGGATGAGAGATCAGCACGCGCGCAAAGGAGCGCGAGGCAGGACACGAAGGATACCGACCAGACAGCGAAGTAGCCAGCACGAACGGGAGGGACCGTATCGACTACGCCGTCGGACATGGCTCTCACCCTACAAGCACCCGTGGACGCAGACGTCCCCGCTTAAGGGGGGGGCCGTGTAGTATAACCCCCCCCTGGGGCTTTATTTTAGTTTAGATCAACTCAGAATCGGATCGGTTACTGTAGGGCTCGATGCTCTACAGTACCACCACGTGTACCTCCAAGTACAGGGGGCGCACGTGTACACGTGTACGCGCGGAACGAAGAGCGCGCACACACGTGTACTGTCAACCCCGATGGCTGACAGTATTACAGTGTCGACCGACCGCTACAGTACGTCGCTACAGTACATCGGTACTGTACTATTATGATAGGTTATTATGTACATTAAATATGGAGCGGACCGGCGGCGGGGGAGGAGGACAAGCACGGACTTGTCACCCACCGACCGTCAAGGTCCGACTTCCCGCTTATTCTAAGGTAACGCTCGCTAATTACCTTAGAGCGGCACCGAGCGCGGGTTGAGGACGCGCGCGGTACGCCCACGAGTCGGCTCTGCCTCCGCCCGTCGGTACTGGATCGTTACCCAGTACCGCGCCGGGGCGTCGAGGCGTCGACCCGCTCGCGCGTACCGGCGTCCTCCCCGTTCCCACTCTACCACGCTACCCGGGCCCGCTTCCCGGTGCCGTTAGCTGGTGTCCTGCTTCACCCCCGTTTTCCCGATCGACAAGGGTCTCGGTCGAACTGTGCATACACCCCTATCGCTGGGGGTGTTTATGCTACAAAGGTCATTCATACCAATCGTAGAAAATGCAGTTTCAAAAAGAGCAATTCGCTCGTTCATGCAAACCTTGCATTGCTGCAGTAGTTCTTCCAATACAAGGACAAGATGCCCTGTCCGCGTGGAGGGTAAACTGTGAGCCAGCAGTTCAATTCTGGTGTTTCCGACAGCTGAGCTGACGAAAAATCGAGCACGCTCTGCTAAAATGTTATTACAATACTCCCTTTCCAACATTACCGGATGAAGTCGCGGCTTTTTTAGTTGCCATCCTTGGGAAGGGTCTTCGTAGTTTCGCCCTGCAGCCGCAGCTCTACCACCTCGTACGCCTCTGCCTCGTCCTCTCCCCCTGCCTCGTCCCCTTGCTCTTCCTCGAACTATATTGCGTACTCGTGCGCTGTCGTCTGTATTCAGGCCTGTTCCCCTGCGTTGTGACGCTCCAGCTGTGGCCATTTGGCGTTCTGCGGTCGAGATTGTTCTTGCAGCGGGTGTCGGCGGATTCGAACCTGCATGGTCAGGCTCTTCTTGGAAGACAGACGCCATAAGGAAGGGGGCAAGCGGCAAGCGGAGTGAGGCGCATGCAGCAGGCCGTAGCAGCCCTTGCTGAAATCCGTTTTCAAAACTTGAAGTTGTGTTGGGAAGCCTAGCCCCAGACGCAGAATGACTAGCTTGATTGAATGATAATGTGGCGTCAATTGGCTGCTAAAAAGGGCAAAAGGAAGGTATGTTTTGTGTCCCCAAAGTACACTGTAGTGTACTTCGGAACATATCCGGGAAGTTTGATTTCTTTCAGAAGTACACTGGAGTGTACTTTACGAACAGTAGGAATATCATTGCCTTGCATTCCTTCCCTAAAGTGCTACCCTTCTCACCGGCTCAATTTGGGCACATTTTGACACCTCTCGAAATCTCTCATTTTACCACTGTATTCGCCAATTTCTTCTTACAAAAAAGCCACCACTGCCAGCCCCAGATGCCATCCGGCTCAATTCGAGCACCCCCACCGCGGCGTACTCACCGGAGTTGCGACAGTCCGAGCAAACTTCGTGCCGCAATTTGTTAGCGATCTCCATCCGGACTGTCTCCCCTGCCCTGAGCACAAAACGGGGAGCGCCTAGGCCATTTTTTAAGGGGACATCATCTAAAGAAGTCCAAAAGCTACTCCCAAATTGCGGACAACCTCCTCCTTTCCCGTAGGCACTACATTTTCCTTATCACCGGATGTCGTGCTCGACACACTCCGCCCATCTGCTTGGACAGCTGCTATGATTTCTTTATCAACATTGGCATACTATGCAGTCTCTGAAACCCGCTGTGAGACGTCGGATGTCAGCACGGCCGCGCCTTGCATTCTGCCACTCCTCTTACGAGCTTTTCGAGTCGCCGATGCTGTCTTGGACGCGCGTATCTCGCTAACCAAAATTTTGTTGACCCGATAGTGCGATCGTAGAACACAGGCGACTTCTACCAGCAACCGGGATGCCGGCAGTCTCCCGTCTGTCAGCTGATGGATTCTTCTTTGTAACTTGTTTGTTTGGAGCCGAGAACCATCAAGTTTTTCTTCACTTGCATGGCCACGTACTGTACTCACTGGAGTATTCTTGCAAACAATTGAAGGGGAATTATAGGACTCTGGGGAGGACACAAACTCGAGAAAGCGGTAGTCCATGGGCCAGAGGCCACATTTTGAGAAGGACTTTCTGGCATCATCTGGCGTGATCGCTTGGTGTCCGGCCACTGCCAGTTTGATCTTGTACGAAGTGTTGGCCCAAGACAGATGGCTCATGGACAACAATTCGTCCCGAATTCTGCGCACTGTTTGCTGAAATGTTCGATTTACAAACTGGTCGCAAGTTTGTAGAATATGGGTTGTGTTTGCCGGGAGTCTTACGACAACAATATTTATTCTCTCACAGGCTTCAAACCACTCCAAACCGTCTCGAGAGCTGTGGCCGTCCACCAAGAGGAAAATATGGTTTTCTGAATCGATAGCTTTTCTCACATGATTGTTGATGTGTTCAGCATTTTTGACGATAATCTTGCGGTCCACGGACCCCCATTTCGTCACGTGGAGAGCGGTTTCTGGCGGAAACCATCTTTCCTCACAAAGCCAGTGTGGGACCCGTATGAATTGGTAAAGTGAATCTTGCTGAGGGGTTGCTTCCAAGCATTCACAACCTTTTTTCCCGACGCCGGAAGAAAAAGGGGCGCAATATTCCCACAAGCAGCTACGGCAATTCCCGCTGTGACATGCTTTCCTGCGTCCTTTATGCTGCTTTTTGACACCCCACTACGCGCACTGGATGAGATGTAACACTTCACTTTCCGGCCATACCCCCCCCCTGATACGGCCGTCTCGTCCCAGTTCCAAATGCGGTGTGGATCTAAACAAATTCCCGGATGCTCTTGCGCAACTTTTTCGAAGGCCTGCTTGAGAGTCAATACATGGGACTGGTTTTCAGCAGCAAGACGAGCGCTGGAGACGTTTTCAGCAACGCGGTAGGCAAGGGAGCGGTTTCGAGCCTGGAAAGAGCGGATTGCGTCTGGTGAGGGCAGTCCATGGGCATATTTCACACAGTGATCTGCGGCTATTCGGGCATGTACAATGCTCATTACTGAGTTTTCTACTGCAAATCAGTGCTTGGCGGCATGAAGGGTCCGTTCGACGACAAGTTTTTCCTCGCATTGAAACAACAGTTATGCGGCCAGGGTGATTGCTTTCCGGATTAAGCATTTTCTCAAGCGCTTCCGGGTTTGAGCCATCGTAAGCTGATTTGATTCTTGTAGCTGTGGTTCGGGACACGCCTGTCTCTTTGGAAGCTTGGAGGGCGCTTTTGCCCTCCTGTATTAAAGAAAAGAGCTTTGCACGGTGAGCACGCTCCTCCTATCTCTTATTGATTCGCCTTTCGTTTGCGAGCGTTTGCGCTCTCATGGACGGTGGCATAATGCCACCGTCAGCTCAGCGTGCGTGTAGAGAGGAGGAGGGAGGACTCAACTGTCTGGGTGTGGGGTGTGAATATGTGAGATGAAGTGTGGCATTTTTTAGAAGGCGGGAAGGGCGGAGGATTGTTGTTTGAATGGTGCCCAAATTAAGCCATTACAGTACCCAAATTAAGCCGGTGAGAAGGGGTACGGGGAGTATCTTTGCCCGTGCGGTGCGTTTTGCAATTGTGCTCCCAGTTTTATACCACACGCTTCCTCTTTCCCATTCGGCACCTCTCTCCCTTTGAAGACGCCTTCGGACACGTATCTCTTCCTGCCAGGCAGAATGCCTGCAATTCTTGTGCGGTTCACCGACTCAGAACAAATGCATTCGGTTGAAGCAGACCCTTCACGCGCATCTCTACTAGATTTTCGGTACCAACTCTTCTCTTTGACTGACATTCCGCCTGACCAAATTGAGGTCCAAGTCGGAACAGAGCACTTCTTTCCTAATGACGACCTTGACGCAGGTCGAACACTAGCTAGCATCGGAATCTATCCGGGAGATATTGTTATTTGTAGAGACGTAAATGGTACCAAAGGACAAGTACAGCTTCATGAGGTACAACAAGAGACGAAGGCCTTGGGTGTGTCAGACTTGCAAGCAGCGCTCGAACAAGTTTCACTCAACTCCAGCAATAGGAAATCCGTAGCGGGCGCTTCGTCGGACAATGGCCACCAAGTCGATTCAAAGACACGCGAATTCCTTTCGCAGGTATCAAAGTACCAGCAGGCTGTGTGCGCATATGAAGATGCCGACTTCCAAGACAAGGCGAGAAAAACAGCCCCGCTACAGGAATTGCGACTCAAAGCCAACGACCGGCTTGAAAAGCAGCGCAAGGACTACCCGACCTATGAGCTTGCCCTTGCCAAAGAGCTGCTTACTTGGTTTAAAGAATCATTTTTCACTTGGGTCAACTCCCCAGACTGCTGGTCTTGCGGCAAAGAAACGGCCTTGGTCGGGATGGCGCCTCCAACGGATCATGAATTGAAGCACGGCGGCTCGCGAGTCGAGCAGCACGACTGCCAAGCGTGCGGTGCGACGACGCGGTTCCCGCGCTACAACGACGCGGGGAAGCTACTGGAGACGCGCAAAGGGCGGTGCGGCGAGTGGGCGCAGGCGTTCACGCTGATAGCGCGGGCGGCCGGGCTTCGCGTACGCGTCGTGCACGACTGGACGGACCACGTGTGGACGGAGATATACACGCCCGAGGGGGAGGGCGGCGGGAGATGGGTGCACGCGGACTCGTGCGAGAATGAGCTGGATAAGCCGCTGCTGTACGAGAGCGGGTGGAAGAAGAAGCTCAACTATTGCGTGGCGACGGGCGTGGATTGCGTGATGGACGTGACGAGACGGTATACAGAAGATTTTAAGGCGCTTGCGGTGAGGAGGACGCTGGCCGAGGAGGGCGCGTTGCAGAAGGGGCTCGCGCGTATGAACGAGGAGGTGATCGCGAAGCTGCCTATCGGGGAACGGGAGGAGGCAATGAGGAAATACTTTGCGGACGTTGAGCAAATTGGGTTGCCACAGGCAAGTGGTGAAGGGCTTTCGGGACGGCAGTCGGGCAGTCAAGCATGGATTAACGCGAGAGGGGAAGGGGGATGAGGCGAGCAGAGGTGTGGTGATTCGGTTGAGGGGTTGTACCACAGCGGTTAATCATTGCTCTTTAGAGAGTCACTTTGACAAAGCGCAGCATTGCATGCATCGCTTCGAGTTTCGTCCTCAACTGCTAGCATGTCGTGCTCATCCCCGTTGTCGACTCTTTCTCGACATAAACGAGTAGCCTTCGCTTCTGCTCCCGCGCGAGCCACACGAGCTTTCCGAGCGCCATCGCCGGGAGCTGAAAGGGTCGGCGCGCTCGTGCATTTGTGCACGACGCAAGCGGCAGAAACGCAAAAACGGGCGGTGCAGTGCATGAAGTTAGGATGAGTAGTTTAATTTGTACTACAAGACGCGGCGCGGCCACGGACCCGCGGCGCTCGCTGCGCGCGGTCTCGGCAAGCTCTCGGGCGCGTGGGGCGTCCCGAAGCGTGTGCGACTGCGCGGGCGTGCACGGGCGCGTGCGCCGGTGCGGCTGGCCGCGAGCGGCGGCGGCGCAGTTAGAGTTTCTTGAGGGCGTCGTTGGCGTACAGCAGGGTGTCCGTCGAAGGGTCCATAGAGGCGAGCGCACCGACGGAGAGGACAAGGATGACGATGAGGCCGAGCGAGCTCCAGAAGATGATCTGGAACATTTCGTAGTCCATAGCGAAGGGGGTGGGTGGGCGGCGGGGTGCGGGCGGGGGGAACGTGGACGGGGGAAGGGAAGGTGGGAGTCGCTTGTTGGCGAGGAGGATGGTGTGGCGCAGCGAAAGGACTGGGCGGGATGTTTGCGCAACGGAAGCATCCGATTGACAGTTGGGATTCACAGGACGGGTTCGCCTGTGTTGCTGACAACCTTTACACGTGTACACGGTAACGATTCTGCAACACGTGTGCACGTGGAATATTTATTCGCGTAAATTTTCACTCGAGCCCTAAACGTTTTTCCAACATTTGTCTTCTGGCCGCCGGAGCTCGTGCATTTGGCGATCGCCGGCGGGCAACCCGTTCACTGTCCAAGCTTTGGAATCCTATTTAAGCCGCCTCACGTTCACCACTCCTTCCGCTACGAACGAGGTTGTCAGCTTGCAATCCTCGATAGCCTGTGCCTTCACACAGGCGCATCCCGCTAGTCCAAGTACAGTCCCGAACAACACTAGCCCGTTGGCGGGCCCAGCACCGCGGTGGCCGTCGCCTCTGCGTCGCGGGCCTGTCCGCGCACTGCGTGTTACCCGTTGCTTCTCCCTTTCTATCCATTCTCCGCGATCTAGTAGAGCGCCAATCGCCGGTTTAACGAACTGCACAAATTCGACTTGTACTTGTTCTGTCGCATTTCTGTTGCGACAGTTCAATCATACCGGCGTAGACAAAAGATGTCGTCAAAAGCACCCATGTTGTCGCTTATTCACGCGCTCGTGGGCCGTAACCGGCACCGACAATTACTCTAGCCCTTCTGTACATTTAAACATTAGATTGTTCTCAGCCAGCGGTCGAACCCGAAGAAGCAAACCATTGATATCCACACATATTCGCAGTAGATAGCTGCTCCTGCTGATTTCTATATCAAGGTCCGAGTCGCAATATATATCTGTTGCTGTGGTATGCAGTCAGACTGTGGCAAGAACGGTACACCGCAAACGTTTGCATTTAATCATCGGTGCCATATGTGAGGAGAAAAGACCATTGTTGAGAAAAGACTCACGAATTGGAGGCCCGTTGAAGGATCACAAAATCTATAGGTGAAAACCCTGTCAAATTTTAATCGACGGTCTTCTCTGCAATGCCAGGTTCTGCAACAAGACGCCTAGTTAGCGATCATCTGTTCGTAGAAGGCCTTCCCAGCCGACTTGTCCGCCGAGGCAGTTATGGTCTTTTTCTGCACCTCCTTCTTCTGGATTCTGGCGTACGGGTTGAGTTTGAACAACACCTCCGTGTTACGGAGCGGATTCTTCTTCCTCTGTACCCACGTTTTCTTCTCAGCGATCGGTCGGATCACGGACTGGATCTCATCCGAGTTGATAATACGCGCCACATCCGAGTTGGAAATGATATTCTTCGGCAGCACAAAATTCTTCTTGATCGAAGATCCAGTTTCGCCGGTCCCGTAGATCGAGTCCAGCTTCTGAATCGCCTTCTCAGTCCAGATCACAAAGCGCCCGACGTGTCCACCGGGGGCAAGCTGCAGCAGATTCAAGCAATCAACCGAGCACAAGTCCACACCCGGCAAGTTCCTGAACGCCTTGACGATCCCATCATCCTTCTCGTACACAACCAACGGCCCACGACGCTGCTTGAACCTACGGTTACGAAGCTTACCCTTACCCGCGCGCATTTTCCTCGTCTCCATAACACGTTCGACATCATCGTACGCGCCCAACGACTTGAGCAGAGTAACAGCCTTGGCCGTCTTCTTCATCCCTTCAGCGGTGCCGTCGATCACGAGCGGGACCTCGGGCACGTCATCAATTTCATGGCCGCGCGCCATCACGAGCGCCGGCAACGCACTAGCAGCGAGCGCCGAAACCACGGCATACCTCTTCTGCTTGCGAGGGACCTTACGGTGCCATTTCCTCCAGATCCTCGTGGGCGCAAACATGCGGCCGCCTCGGCACATGTTTCCGAACGCACCCTGTCCGGAGCGATGCGTACCGCCACCCGGGACACGCGGGATACGCGACACGGCGCGGCCTGTGCCCCACGACTCGGCGGAACTCTGCATGCCGGCCATGCGCGAAACGGCGTACGGCTGGCGGTGGTTCTTGCGCATGCTCGTGTGCACGATCTGCACAAGGTCGTTGCGGATGGGGGCCGTGAACACGGCGGGCATCGACGTCGAGCCGGACGGCTGGCCGGTCTCGGCGCTCAGAACCGTCACGACGGGGCGCGCGGCGGCGGGGCTCGACATGTTGGATTGCGGGTGGAGCTAGGCGGGAGGGTGACTCTTGCGTGATTGACTTTCGTGCGGTCGGTTGTAGAGGTTGGGGAGGGGGGCGATGGTAATCAGGAGAGGGAATATGGCGGAGAGGTCGCCGGTCGGCGGCGATTTGATCGTGAACAATTTTGCCAAATATTTTGCCAAATATTTTTAGTCATGAAATTTCGCCTATTTAGGTTTGCGAGAAAATGAGCCAATAGGGTACGAAAAAGGAGAAATGCTACGTCCATACGGTCCCAAACTTTGAAAAGTAAAAACTCGAAAAACAACCAAAACAAGCCTGAACCTGGAAAGCCTGATGACGCAGCTGTGCCGCGGCTTGTCAACATGCTTCTCTCATACTGCAAGCGAAGTTGTCAACATGGCAGTTGGTTAGAGAAGAAGAGGACACATTTATCAACTACTCTGCTGTCTTGGCAAGCAACTCCCTCCCTCGCCCAACAAGTACGAGTACGTGCATACCTTCTCACGCCGACGGAATCAGTTCAGTGACTGCCCTAGCCCCATCCCCTGCGAGTGTTGCAAACACGGTGGCCTCTTTGTTATTGTTGTGTTCCGGATACTGCTCCTTAAACGCCTGCATCAGCGCTTCCACACTTTTCTTCGCCACTAGCGTGACCGTACACCCTCCAAACCCACCCCCCGTAATCCTGCTCCCATACACCCCATCCACGCCCATCGCAATGTCCACAAGCGCGTCAATCTCTGGCGTGCTCACCTCGAACAGATCTCTCAGCGACACGTGACTCTCATGCATAAGCTTCCCAGTCCGCACCAAATCGCCATTCTCGAGACAAGTCTTCGCCTCCAGCGTGCGGATATCCTCCTGGATCGCATGCCGCGCCCGCTTCTCCGTTTCAACATCCAGCTCTTCCTTGACGGCCTGCAACATCTCCATATCACAATCCCTCAAATGTGTCACGTTCTTGTCCGGAAACTTAGCCGCCATCTTTGCCGCCGCGACCTCGCACTGCGCCCGTCTGCTCGGATACTCCGACCCCGACAGCTCGTGCTTATTGTTCGAGTCCGCGACGACGATCACGGCGTTGGGGTCATTGAGCGGCACGGCCTTCACGTCCAGCGAGCGGCAGTCAATAAGCAAGGCGTACCCGGTTTGCCCCTTGCTCGATATCAGCTGGTCCATGATGCCGCATGGCACGCCGGCAAACTCATGCTCGCACTTCTGCCCCATCTTGGCGCGATCGGCCGGGTCGACTTGCAACCCCGCGAGCTGCTCGATGAGCACGCCCGTCGCCATCTCCAGGGATGCGGACGAGCTGAGCCCGCCCCCCATGGGGACGTCGCTAACGATGACGGCGCGGAACGGAACGATGTTATGCCCATTGCGCGCATATATCGCAGTCATCCCCTTGACGTACTTGACCCAGCCCGGGGTGTCCGGAGAGAAGGGAGTGTCGCCCGGGGTAAAGGAAAAGGGCTCGTCCGAAAAGGCGCCCGCGACGACATGGCATTGCGTGTCGTCGGGGAGCGGGCAAGCGACAATGTATGTGTTCTTTTCTAAGGCAAGGGGAAAGACAAAGCCCTCGCTGTAGTCCACGTGCTCGCCGATGAGGTTGACGCGGCCAGGGGCCGCCACGGCGACCGTGGGGGGGCACGAGAAGGCATTTTGAAAGAGGGACGTGGCGCGGGCGACTCCTGCTTGGTCGGCGGTGGGGCTCATAGCGGGTGGATCGGAGCGGATGGTAGTTCGTGAAGGGGTAAGGGTTAAAGTGGGAGAGGGGTTGGGCTTCGGGAGAGGGCTGGGGTGAGATGGGGTGGGGCAAGTTGTTGACGGGCGATGGAAGGCCCCGATAGTGTAGTTGGCCGACAAGCTAATACGGGTTAAGGGTTGTGCCTGGGGAAGAGCAACGATGATTGGTGTGCATGCTGGAGGCGATGCTGGCCACGTGCCCTGCATGCACGCCTGGCCATCAGCAGCAGTGCCCGACAAGAGATGAGATCGACTGAGAGTGTGCAGTGCGCCAGTCATGAATGACTGCCTCGAGTCCGTTTTCTGCACTTGTTGTTGGGCCAGCGCGAGAGGAAACCCCTAACTCTCTGTAATGCCTCGATACGTTACCCCAGGCCTGGCTCTTGCTGCACGCACAATAAATTTACGGTTTTCAAGAACTTCGCGGGACCTTCCTGCCCCATCGCATACATTACAGTCCGTAGCTTGGTCGCCACTAAATCACATAAATGCGGAACATACCGCCAAGTGGACCAATGCCGCACAGGTAGCTTTTAGAATTTCCATCCCCCACGCTCTCAGGGGCATTCTAGGTGTTTTGGAAAGTAGGAAATTTGGAAATTTGGAAACTCGTCATACGCCACATATCCAATAAGCGCCTGCTACGTTGCCACGTGTCCAGTCCCGTTCCCTCCCTCCCCAGTCCGGATCCCCCTCTACCCAGACACGTTCCCTCCCTCCCCAATCCCGTTCCTTCCTCTCGCCGTCCCTTCCCTCTCTACACAGCTCCCGCTCTCGTGCGTTCTTTTCGCCATTTTTTGCGGCCAAGACGTCGACACCTCCAACTCTCCCACCATCACGCCTCACAAAGTGCCTTTTACATCGCTGCCTTCGATCTCGGCACGCCACCGCCTGAACACTCCGCCCCTCCCACACCTTTCCTCGCCGACGCCTCCAACTCTGTCTCCCGCCCTTCCCCCTCGTTTGCCTGACTGAAAGTTTCTCTTATCGCTGTGATCGTCGGTCGAGGAGAAATACCCCAACTAATTGACGCCTGTAAGATTGTTTAGAAAACTATTTGCAACGTATCTCCGATTTTTCTTTTTTTCTCGATCCGCAATACTCTGCCGATCGGGAGACGACGCTTTGCCACATAGAGGAAACGACCAGCCATCTTTCTCTTAAATTGCAGGTGGCAGAGGGAGCGATTTCACGATGGGAATGAGCAGGCATTGGTATCTGCAATGGCGGTTGCAGAGGGAACGATCGAGTATGAGCACTCCTGGGGCGCACATTGTGCACAATATCGCACTCGAGTACTAGTGTCTATTCGACAATCCTACTCATATGAGGATTTGCTCCGCATATGAGAAGCAAATCAAATACGTTCCCGCCACTTCCCGTTTTCTTGTAACACAGAAAAACCGAAACCAAAACCCCCACACTCTTGTTTGAGATCCGGGAAGCCACATTCCAGAATTATAAAGGCTATCGAGTGGAAACAGTCTGGCAGAAAGCACTCAAGAACTTGGTAGTTGGAATTCACGTCTGACAGCAGCGCACAAGGAAAAATGTCAAGTTCAGACTCTCTGTTGAGTCCAGGAAGCACAGCTTACACAAAAGCCAAGTTCGTGGTGGCAGACTCCGAAGCCAAAAGGCTGTATAGAAGTGCGTGGAAGTTCAAGTTGGTCGTTGGAACAGTACAGCGCGTGTAAGTGAAAAGAAGCAGTGCTCGCGTGCAGTATGTTGTAGTCACATCCTGGCAACTATCATCTGGGGCTATCGTCAATGGGGTTCTGAAGGGCAATGTAAAGTACGGGACGCCGATCCCGCTTGATATGGACGGAACCATTCTTCACCATGGTCGTCATACGGATTCTGACATAGCTGACACTACAGAAGAAACAGGCATAAACAATAACTCAAGTGTGCAGCTCACCCCATTTTTACCAGATACCAGTCATTTCCTTCGCGCTCGGGTCTTCAGCGCTTCATCACAGGAAGCAGCCCCAACGGCTATTACGGTTCATGGGCAACGTTGGAAGGAAGGCACTGATGACCGCTTCATTAATGGTGCCCTGCCGGCGAAAGAGTGGCGCGTGATATCTACTGCTGGTACTGTAGTCGCAAACGGTACTGAATGGCGGCCGAGGAAAGCCATTGACTACTTTATGATGATGTTTCCGACCGACCACCTTCCGAAAATTGTTATCATGACAAACCAAAAGTTGGAAAATGCGAAAGAGAAGAGAACGACTGCGTCCGAGATATTGAGATTTTTCGGGGTTCTCATTTTAATGACTCGTTTTGAAATAAGTGGTTCACGACGTGAGCTGTGGTGCACTCAAAGGCGTGGAAAATATCTTCCTGGCACAAATTTCGGCGCTGCCATGGGTCGGAGGCGGTTTGACATAATGTTTTGCCATATTACGTGCAGCTATCAGCCAATCAGAGAAGCTACTCTATCATCTGTGAAGCAGCGATGGTCGTTGGTCAATGATTTTGTAGAGGCGATAAACCGCCATCGAGCGTGTCGTGTACTACCTTCAGATACAATTTGTGTTGATGAATCTATTGTCCGGTGGTACGGACTTGGAGGGCATTGGATAGACGTTGGTCTTCCGCATTATGTGGCTTTAGATAGAAAGCCGGAATCCGGGTGTGAGATTCAAAATGCGGCCTGCGGAGCCTCTGGAATAATTTTAAGGCTGGAGATCGTGACAAACGCCCAAGACACGGCAGAAAAAGAGTACGAAGGGCGCACAAATCATGGAACAGCTGTATTACATCGGCTCGTTGAGCCCTGGGCTGGGACAAGCCGACTGGTGTGTGCCGATTCTTATTTTGCTTCTGTTGAGACCGCAAAATGGCCGGACAGTATAGGTCTGCGTTTCACTGGTGTCGTCAAAACGGCAACGCGCAAATACCCCATGGCACACGTAAGCTCTTTAGAAATGACAGGGAGGGGAGACCAGAAGTGGTTGCTATCGGTCGACGAGGAAACGGGTAAGACGATGATGGCACTTTGTTGGGTGGATCGGGCACGGCGATATTTTATTTCAACGTCTGGTTCTGTACGCCCTAGGAAGTCGTTCGAGCGTACGCGCTGGCGCCAGGAGGAGGGAGGGCCAAGAAAAGTTACAGTGGTGGTACCCTTGCCACACGTTGTGGAGAAGTACTATGGCGCTGCTGCAGCGATCGATCAGCACAATCGCTGCAGGCAGGATGACCTGGGACTTGAGCGCAAGGTGCAGGTGAAGGATTGGTCAAAAAGAGTGAATATTAGTCTTCTTTCTATCTGTATAGTTGACGCGTGGCTTTTATACAAAGGCGGTAGGGGTGGAATGGAATGTCTGCCGCAGCACCGCTTTTACGAAGAACTGGCGGAGCAGCTTATAGAAATAATTATGGACATGGAGTGGAACCTCGTAACCTGAGCTTTAGCTCGTCAGGCGATGATGTGGATACCACACCCACGAGTGGCCGTAATGAGCATTTGAAGCCAACAAAGAAGCGTAGAAGACTGCGTGGTAGGCTCACAAAGGCTGTGGCACAGGGATGGTGTGCACAATGCGGGGACTACAAGTCGAAGTTCGTTTGCTCTGCCTGCCGCGAAAGCGACAGAGCTGAGAGTTTTTTGTCATAGCCAGACGAAGCTCATGTGCTATCGCACTCACCTCATAGAGAAGCACTTCGATGAGTAGTTGTTTTACTGTGGTTGTACTGCAGAGCTATGCTTCGCTACAGTCGACCGTAAACTACACCATTCTTTTCATGCGCTGTTTCGGGGACTAAAGCTAAATTTCTTTCACCATAGCTCTTGCAGAGGTTGCGGACAGCTCTGCCATATCATCTTCGAACATAGCAGCGGGCTACAGGTGGCGGACCGAAGGGGAAAAGGGGATCCTCAGATGAGTCAATCTCTGACTCATCTGAGGATTTTTTTTGTGTCGAATAGACACTAGGTGTGCAGTGCACACCTAGTACTCGAGTGCGATATTATTGGTTGTCTGTGAAAAGTTTCTAAATGTTGTAGACCGAACGGCGAGACGGAAATTGGAAATCGGTGCATTGCTGTCATATTTCTGATTTCTAAATTCCAGCTTCGAAAAAGTCATAAAATGACCCTCAGTGATGTAGAACGCGAATTCTTTCGTTGAATTTACCAATTTTCTTCAAATAGCCTCCTCCAGGTTCCCGTCGTGTCAGCTCAGTCTTTTTTGAGGCAGAGAAAGGGCGTTAGAGCTGGAGGAGACAGGCAGCTGCAGTTCGGTGCAGTCAGGCTTGGAATCGACACACATTTTCTTCGCTGTTTAGAACGAGCCTCAGGCTCGGTGAGGCTCGTTCTAAACAACGAAGAAAATTGTTGCATTTGCATATAGCTATGATAAGTTGCATGGCAACTACCGCGCCCGCTTTCAAAGTCTTCGGACTTGGATGTCACTCTTCTTCTGGCTCCTGGATGTTTCGTTCTCGAACTCTTTCCTTGTGATGAAGAGGAAGTACCCAAGCCTCTGAGGTTCGACCGGCGCACACAAACAGTTGCGGCTTGGCGTTGCGACCGATTCGATATGGGCAGGTTTCGTTGTCAAGAAAGGGTCGCTGACGACCACAAAAAACGATGCAGGCACATATGTTACACTTGCTGGCAACAAACAAGCGCGCAGACGTAACAGCACTTATCTCTTCATAGGTGCGGAGCACTTTGACCTCAGCCTGGAACACTTCCCTATAGGCGTGAGCAAAGATGAGCGCAATATATGCGTGGTCCGCGCTCGTCGAACGAAGACGCAGTGCCGCGGCTGCACTGGAGCGGTGTGCCTCTGCACGGCGGGCGAAAGGGATTTTGTTTCCACATCTTCCACAAATCCACAACAGAGGCGCTAGAGAGCCACCGCCCGTCTGCCAGGACGTCGAACTAAGCATGCACGGCGAGCTCCGACACAATTCTGCGCCTGCAATGACAGTAAACAATTTTCCCTCAGGCAGGCAGAACCTTTACTACTCCATCCGAGACCGCTGATCCGATTGGTGGTGGTTCCAGAGCATAAATCCGACTCCGTCTATGACATATCGACAATTGAAGCCGTACTTGTCGCCCCAGATCCCAAACTTGTATAACATTTTAGCAGAAATCCAGATTTCCAATTGCCCAGAGGGCAACAAGCCCCGCACGGGAGAAGGGAGAGTGAAGCCGGACCGACGATATTTCGCCAAATGACCAACTATTCAATCCTCTCTGGGAGGCTTCAGCCTGCTTTATCTAGGACGACTGGAACACTGGTCGTGGTTGCAGAACGGTGAACACCAACACGGACATGCTGTTCATGACGCTGGCTTTGGATAAGCACGGGGGACGTGGGAATGGCTGGCCAGAAATTTTGCAATGAGAGGCCCCGCTTTCGAGCATCTGGTACTGCGATTCTTCAGTGTGATT